ATACAATTTTTTCAACAAAACCTTTAACAGTAAAAATTAAAAATATGGTTTAATACCTCATGATAATCAAAACCTGGTCACAATTTTCACATCTTTTAGGAAAATCATCATTTTTCAAAAAAAATTGATCATGGATAAAAAAAAAAAAAAAAAGTACAGCAAACTCAAACAATAAAATTAAAAATATGATTTGATACCTCATGATAATCAAAACCTTGTCACGATTTTCGCATATTTTCACAAAATCACAAATTTTCAAAAAATTCGATCATGGATTACAAAAAAAAAAAAAATTGTTCTTCACAGAGCCACCTTACATCAGCCATTTCAACTAAAAAATCCACCTCCAAACGAATAAATTACATCCAATTTAGTACATGTTTTGATAAACAACACTAAAAGGAATCAAAACCCTAAATTATGAACACATTATCATCAATAAATCAAATCAAATCGATTAAATTGAGCAAAAAAAAAAAAACGCAGTTCTTCACAGACAACAGTCATTGAATCTAAAAAATGAAGCTCAAATTGAATACATCTGATTATAAATAAGATTATAACGATTCAAAACTCTAGAAATCTAACACATTATTTGTAATATATCGTGAACAATAAATCGAAGGCGGAAAAAAAAAAAACAGCATAATTTTTTTTTTTTCATTGACATCACTGTGTGCTTCTAAAAACTCAGGCTGTAATTGAGTAAATTAAATAAAATTGAATATAGTAAATGATAAAAGACACGATAAAGATTTAAAACCCTACAAATTTAACTGATTATTTTCAAAATATGGACTGAAATTGATCAAATAGTGAAAAAAAAAAAAAAACGTAGAGTTCTTATCTGGTTTCATGAAACTGTGGGCTTCAATCTCCAAATTAATCTATTTTTCTCAAAGATAATCACAAATTCGTAATAGAAATTTGTAATGAACACATTTACGATCAATATGCCCCAAACTTTTCACAGATTCATGCCCTATTTTGTATGAAACAAAACGAAGAATGGAAACCATAAAACCCGCAACTTTCATGATCAAAAAATTGAAATTTTTCCATCATTTAATGCATGAAAAGGCTGAAAAAAGTTACATAAAGCTTGAATATTCGATCACATGGCAAAAAAAAGAAGAAAAATGATAAAAAAAGAACAAAATTTGAAGAAACCCGTGAAGAACACTGTACAGCCCGTGTTCTTCACGAGACTCGCCGATTTGGTACAGTGAATCGACGATTTACTATACAGAATCGCCCGGTTCTCTCTGGAATCGGGCGATTCCGTGTAAAATACCAGAACCGGCACGAACTATGTCGATTCCCGAGTCGAACCGGGAGAGTCCAGTTGGACTCGGCGTTTTTTAAAACACTGGGATAAACTATACAAAATTCATAGATTCCTTGCAATCACTTCCATGTCCATTGTTTGGTAACAAAATTTGATACAATTTCTCTCTCTAAAAGTTTAATATACTTTCTCTCTCAAACTCAAAATTTGGGAAAGTGTAAAAATTGTCAGACAGTTTCTCTCTCTAAAATTTGATATGATTATTCTCTCTAAAGTTTAATATACTTTCTATCCAAAGCTTAAAATTCGAAATTGTTTCTCTAAAAATTTTGAGATAGTTTCTCTCTCTAAAATTTTTACGTGCTTTTTCTCTCCATAATTTAATGTAGTTTCTCTTTCTAAAATCTTAAGATACTCTCTCTCTCTCGAACTTAAAACTTGAGATGATTCCCCTCTTCAATAATTTTGATATAGTTTCCCTGTCTAAACATTTTTAAGTAGTTTCTCTCTAAAAGTTAAAATTTGAGATAATTTCTCTCTAAAATTTTTGCGATAATTTCTCTTTCTAAAAATTTTTATATACTCTCTATCTAAAATTTGATATAGTTATGCTCTTAAATTTTAACATACTTTCTCTCTCTAAAACTTCAAGTTTGAGATAGTTTCTCTCTCTAAAATTTTGAAATAGTTTCTCTATTTAAAATTTGATGTAATGTCTCTCTAAAATTTGATATACTTTCTCTCTCTAAAGTTTAAAATTTGAGATACTTTCTCTCTCCAAAAACTTAAATTTTGAGTGTTTCTCTCTCTAAAAATTTCATGTACTTTCTCTATCTAATATTTGCTATAGTTTATGTCTCTAAAATTTTAAGATACTTTCTCTCTCTAAAACATAAATTTTGCAATAGTTTCTCTCTCTAAAATTTGACATAATTTCTATCTTTAAAATTTTAATATCTTTTTTCTCTCTAAAACTCAAAGTTCGAGATAGTTTCTCTCTAAAAAACTAGATATATTTCGCTCTCTAAATTTTTTTTGGCAGTTTCTCTTTCTAAAATTTATAATAGTTTCTCTCTAAAAGTTTGATTATATTTCTCTGTCTACAATTTTAAGAATACACTCTCTCTAAAACTTAAGATTTGATATAGTTTATCTCTCTAAAAATTTTGAGATAGTTTCTATATATAAAACTTTTATGTACTCTCTCTAAAATTTGATATAGTTTCTCTCTCTAAAAATTAAAATTGAAGATTGTTTCTCTCTCTAAAATTTTCGAAATAGTTTATCTGTCTAAAAATTTGAGATAGTTTCTCTCTCTAAAATATGATAGTTTTTCTTTGAAACTTAAAATTTGAGATAGTTTCTCTCTCTAATTTTTTGAGATAGTTTCTCTCTAAAAAAATTTGGTACTTTCTCTCTCTAAATTTTAACATACTTCTCTATTTAAAAGTTAAAATTTAAGATAGTTTCTCGCTCTAAAAATTTTAAGATACTTTCTCTCTTTAAAAAAAATTAGGTACTTTCTTTCTCTAAAATTTTAATACCTACCAAATGTTTTTTATGTTTCGGGTTGAGGGAGCCAATGAGGGAAATCCATGGGGCTTGGAAATTCAAAGGAACAGGTTTTATTGTGGAAATGAAATTATGGAAAAGTAGGCCTTATTTTCATGATTTTGATTTTCTTGATTTTAAATATCGTAGTCATTAAGCAATCCAAATGGTGGATCTTGGTATTATCTAAAATATTAGAATTCCTTGTTCCCAAATAAGCCTTAAGGGATTTTACCTTTTCCACTTCCAAAAAAATGCTCGCCCAAAAAACAAAGTTGTTTATCAGAACTATGGACTTTGATCGGATCATGGGCTTGCGATTTGAAGGTTCCCAAGATGAACACTTCCAACTTTTGTTTAATCTTCTTTTGAAGTTCATGGACAAGAAATGTATTGGAACCCATACTCAAATCACGTGAGTCCTTCTCGGTGCCACTTATGGTTGCCACCAAATCTCTGGCGATGCACACAACAATATCACTATCTTATCTTCATCTTTATTTTTCAACTTTTGAAAGTGTTCAAATGATCAGAAGCTTTTGTCCTTGTTTTAATCTCAAATTATGCAACATTTTCTTCAATAAAATCCAATTTGTGAGAGTAAACAGTAGCCAACTTCCACTAACCTTGACCCTCTTTTCTCCTAAAATGTTGCACAAACCACTATTTTACAAATATAAACATACCATAACCAAAAGCTATAAGTTTCAATTCAAATTATGTTTTAAAATACTTTTTACAATTGTGTGATAGTGAGAAGTATGAATATACCAAATTTGAACTTAATCAGATATGTAAATTAAAAAATAAATTAAAGTACACTTTATGCTGGACTTGAATATATAAAATTTGAAATATACTAGACTATTTTTAATTTTTTTAAATAAAATAGGATTCTTCTAAAAATTTTCTTTTTTTTAGAAATCTTTTTTTAGACTATTCAAGTTGAATTTTGGTCGAATCATCTTTTCTCTTCTTCTTTTTTTGAAAACTAGTTTATGCTTCAAGGATACACTTCTACAATAGCGTCCCTTCATCCATCTTGAAGATGAATGTTAGAAATGGTAACCCTACAAAAATTTAAAATCGATTGGGTTAGAAACTGTCAACAACATTTATTTTTATTTTTAGAATTTATTTATTTATTTATTTCAAGTTTCTAAATATCATGGTTGAGATTTTCATTCTCTAAAATTATGCTGGGTTTGTATAAGGTAACCACCTCATATTATACAAGTACGGTGCGCGCCTAAATTTTGCCACAAGATATTGTTCTAGCGTCATAAATCTTATTGTGGTTTGAAAATTCATGTTTAACATTAACTATGAAATTTAAAATTTTAAAAATTTGTAAATTGAGTAGATCTGTAAACAATTCAAAATCTTGAAAATAAACGGTTCAGATAACTTGTTATAAGATGAACTATTTTTAAGATTTGAAATTATTTTCTTCTTTACCCATGCACATGGAGGTCAAGATGATTAATAGGAAAATTTCAACTTTAGAACACTTTGGTGTATTAGATTTTTGAGGTACACATTACTTTTATAGTACAAGGCTACAACTCATATAAATTTTTTCGCATTCTGAATCTAAAATACATCTTTAAAATAGATTTTGGAGAGATTACCTATTTATGTAGAGACGAGTCAGCCGACTCATATAAACCTTGTTTTTTTTTTTTCCTCCCTTGTTTGTATTTTTTTATTGCCCCCACCGAGCACTCTTCTTAATGAGAAGCTCTCATGTCCATATCTTGTGGGTCGTGGAAGCGTGCAGAAGTATCGTTTTGATGTGGCTACATCCAACAACACAAAAGAAATTTATTATTTTTATTTAAATATTATCAAACAAAAAATAAAAACTATTTTAATTAAAAAAAAAAGTTGACCAAAATACTCTTAAATTGTTTTAAGGTATTTTGTTCAATCTTTTCGTTCAAATATTTTTTATTATTTTATTATTTATTAAATCTCATATAAATATAATTTTTATAAAATAAAAAATAGAAATTTCTTTTTGGGCCATAAGATGCTATGTTCAATTTGAAGTTTGCTATGACTACTAGTCCAAGCCAATTTTGTGATCCCTCAAGACTAAACTGTACACAGCAGGCAAAATATTTAGACCCCTCCTTCTGCTTTGGCATGAACCACAACCATGGATGCTGGCGAACATCGTCACTGGTATTCAGAGCACTGGGGCGAGCTGGTATCTAAGAAAGTATTTTCTCTCTATAATTCTCTCTCTAAAAAGGGAAAGCCCCAAGGCCGGGAAACTACTGTTTTGGCAGCGTTTCTCCTGTCTTCTCCATCTCATGGTATGACCCAATTTTGCCCTAAAGTTTATGTTGAAAACCCAATTTATAACTGATCGTTGAGATAGTATTGCGTCTATTAAGAACGAAATTTTACTAGATCCAGTGCCAGAGTTAGTGACAGTTTGCAGTTTTTTAGTTCATGCTGTATTATGAATTTTAAAGAAATTTTGTTACACTCAACAAGCATTACCTTTTTTATTCAAGAAAAAAAAGAAAAGAAACATATCATTACCTTATTTTCTCTTGCAGTTTAGACTGTATCTCATTCTCTTTTTCAATTTTGCGGTTGATTTTACGTTGCGAGAATAAGGCTCTTCGTGTTTGGCATGCATTTTGCATTGCATTTTTTTCTGAAATGCAGTCTTCTTCATTTATTTTGCCTTCCTTGCTATGAAAAATATATTTATATTCCTCCTTTTTCTTTTTCTTTTTCTTTTTTTGGGTTATTTCCTTTAGGTTGTATGCTTCATGAAACTCAACACAAGCTTTATCATTCATGTTGATCTGTAAAATAAATCAATAAATAAGTAAACCTTGTCCTGGGTCTGTAATTTTGATTTTCGTGCAATTTTTCTGTTATTTCTTAGCAGAATTGCAAGTTGTAGCAATGGGAACTGGAACCAAGTGTCTTGGGAGCTCACATTTGAGTCGAAATGGTGATGTTGTGAATGATTCACATGCAGAAGCTATTGCACGAAGATGTCTCGTGAGGTTTGACTTGTTTTCAGTTTAACAATTTTGGTTTGCTTGGGGTGACTACAAACATAACTTAGTGAGAAATCTTGAGCATTTACCAATAATAAAAAGCCAAATGCATGAGTATTTATTTTATTAGGAAAATTGATATATGCAGTTCATTGGTAAAGAAATTGAGTGAATATTGATTCCTGTCCATGGGTATGTAAGGGATGTGATGGAATATTAGTTATGCTGTGGCGTCAACAAAGCACAAGAAGGAAAAGAGAACCAGAATTGATATTATACAATCTGATATTATGCATTGAACTTCTTGTTGCTGTTTTTCTTTTCTTTTTTTCATTTTCTTTCCTTTTTTTTTTAAAGAGAGCTTGTAATGAGAATCATTTTGAGTGACCTTCATGCAACATAGTTGATACATGAATACCGAATTTAGGTTGAGGTTGATAATATGTCAATTAGGATAGACATAAGGTACAGAAAGAGAATAAATTATATATATTTATTCAGGTTTATTAATTATTTGACTCAAAAGTACAAAAACAGTTACTTACAATGGAGTGATATTGGATATTAAGTTAGGATGTAAGAGAAGCTATATCGGTCAAGCAATACATCATGGTCCCCAGAACAAAAGTGTCCTGACTTGTGGCATTGTGTAATAATTTGTTAAATTAGAACCATAACAAGCTATTAAAATTATTCCTTCAAAGAAAATACTATTCGGATTGGTTTATATTTAACTTCTACCATGATATCATCAAAGTTGGAAGAGCATTTCTGTTCCATTTTTTTATCTATCTTTTGGATGTACTATAACTGTTTAAATAAAATAGAGACCATTACAACGGTTGGAATCCATAATAAGCATATTCGTGTTGGCCTGTGGTCCAAGGCACTTGCTTCCTAGACTCACTCTTCTTAGCCAATCTGTCTGATAATCAGGCACGGAATCGGCCTCTCTTTGTCCTTGAATTGCATCCAAGACACATTAATTAGATGGGGTAGTTCTCAAATTCTTCAACAGTCTGTTGACATCCATGGATGCAAGGGAGTCTCCATGAAGCCATTGAATGGAATTTATGTTTTGGGATTGTATAATTGCATATTATGGTACATGTTGCATACAATCAGCAGTATGATACATGCAATCTACACTACTCATGGTTAATAACAGAGAGTGGGTATAAACTATTTTCCTCCTTGAGTGGACAGAGAGAAATTGTGGCCAATCTCCATAATCCCTTGTTGAGTACTAATGATGGAGATGACATGTAGCAATCATCGGTTTGTTACTTGTATCATAATATAATTTCCTTCAATTTTTTGATATGGTCTTATCATGGTTGGGTTGCATACAGGAGCCACCCTTGTGGGCTAGCGAAATCATTGATAAACATTCTCATTGATGCTAGCACCATGGGGCTTGGCTCCTGCATGAGTGTAACACCCAAGATGGGCTTAGAAATAAAGGGTTTTGAGGATGGATTGGTGTTCTAGTTAGGTTAGGATTTGAGAGATGTAAAGGTTTTGATTTCCTACAGAGTTAGGAAAATAGGGTTATGAGGGTGGTTAGGTCTCCTTGTTCGAATAGGATTGAGGAATTCAATATCTAAATGGGGAAGGCTCGAACATGATGTGATATGGAAGGGTTAGGCGTGATTAGGGCAACAACTGGGGTTAAAATTAGGTGTTCATGGGGTCGAAATTGTTAGAAAATTCCGGGGGTGATTGATAGATTTGAATCTACTTTACGGTTGATAGGCAAGGGGTTTAGGTGATAGGTTTGGGAAATTCTGCTATAATATTACTGCTTGGGAAGGGTCAATTTGATTGGGGACGATAGATTGAGAATTCGATTGTGGGCACTTGTAAAAGGGCAATATGTTACACAAGAGGGGAAAAAAAAGGTTCTAACTTGTTAGAATAACTCTCTCAATCCTAAGGTAGAGTTGTAGAATCACTCTCCGCAAAAACAGTTGAGGAATCATTCTGCGAAGTGAAGGAATCACTCCCAAATATAACCTCACACCAGCTTTTTTTTTTTATTTAAAAAAAAAGTACTGAATTTTTATTCTCAACTTCATTTGATCTAGTCATTGGGTGTTTACTCCTAACTTGGGTGGTGCTTCATGTAATCTACAATTAACTAAAAAAATTAGATTTTGAAATTAGGAAACTAGGAAATATTTAGGTAGCCAAGCATCCAATTAGAGAAACGTTTGTAGTAGGAAACGAAACCTATCAACATTAATAAGAAACTAAGGACTCTGATTCCAAGAAACGAGACCAAGAAACTAACAGTCTTCCTCAAAAAAAAAAAAACATAAAATAAAGAAATTTTTTACTATTTAATCTTAAGCCCTAATTAGTCCAATTTTCTTCACTAATTATCTGAGCAGCCTTCAAATATGATCTGAAGCCTGAAAAGTCCAAATTAGGAAAAATTCACAGAGTTAAAGGCTGCAATGCTCAAATTTATTCATTTTTAACTTTGAATCACCCCAAACAAACATGCGAGTAAAAGGTTACAACTTCAGAAACATCACTCACCCCCCAAGGACTCAAAATCTGTCTGAAATACTGACTTCTTCAGATAAGTCTTAAGAAATCATGCTCTAATAGATAGATTTTGATGGAATTGCATGTTCCATGAGTTCTGTATTTTGGTGATGGAATATACATGCTAAGGAAATGCTTCCTGCTCACGGCAGGCTGTTCTATGCAGAGATTGTGTGTCTCAATGAAGCCTACAAGAGAAAAGAACGTCTCGGATGTGAACAATTGGGGATTGATGGGAACCTACACTTGCTGTTAGAACTAGTTGGTGATGTGTCTGGTCAAACAAAATATAGAATGAAGCCAGGCTACCGGTTACATCTATATATCTCTCAATTGCCTTGTAACTTATCTTCAATTGTTCACTGACTTTATTATTTGTGTTTGACTGTTTGAGTTCTTTAACGGCATGCATCTGCTATGAGTTTTCATTTTAGTCAAGATCATTGTTTGATCTGATCACATGTTGCTTGTATCTCTTCTTTCTCATTTTATTGTTTTGGTTTTTGAAGGTGGGGATGCTTCCAGTTCCCCTTTGTTGCCAAGAAGGGATTTGCTCCAACCAGCAGGGATTTCACACTCTTGTTTCAAAGCTCGAAGTAACAGCAGTGATAATCAGGAAGTACATCCAAATCAGGGCCATTGTAGATCCCCTGACAGTAATCATAGCTACTATGACAATAACTGTGAATCTTCAGGAAAATCCTCTGCTGAATTTTGGGAAAGCTTTTCTAAAACTGGACTCCAAACACCATATAGGGGAGTTGCTAATAAAAGTGATAAAGAAATAACAGACAGAATAGATGGAGAGATAGTTGGCAGACTTTTGCCTCGAGATCGTAATGGTGCCATTTCTTCTACTATGACTCCTGAATATTTGTTGAGGGGGTTGGAAAGTAGTAGGTCGCATAGAACCGATAATTTGACAAATGATGTAGATGGAGTTTTTGCCGTTCCTTCCCATTCGCTGGTTGATTTGCATGGCCTGGGAATGGTTAGAAGAAAACCTGGTCGTGGTGAAACAACTCTTTCTGTAAGCTGCTCAGACAAGATTGCCCGCTGGAATGTTCTTGGCCTTCAAGGTTTGTTCTTTTCTATTTTCATTCATCTATCAGGGACTTATACTTTGATTAGATTGCAGCTTGTATTAACATCTATTTTATAGGAAGAAAGTGTACTATAATCAAATGAATTATTGAAAACCACATTGAATCGTCATCGATGGTCAATGAAATGATTAACAGTGGTGGAGAGAGTGGGACCCACCAGAACAGGCTTGTCTGTGTCCCACTTTTCACCCATCACCATCCATTTCATTGTACGAATATGACTCTAATGGACTATGGTTCTCTATTTATCCTTTTGATAGACAACTCATGCATCATATTAAAAGAATGAAATCATCTTGTTTTGAATTGAGGGAACCGCACCTCATATCTAATACTACCTATAGGTTTTGCTTGGTTTATGACCCTTCATTGGATGATAGAAACTTAAGCAAAAGGTGCATTTAAATGAACCACATTTTGAGGTGTGCCTCAAAGTGTCTCCATATCAGGTCCTCCCTCATTCATTGATATTTCTTATGAAGTTCCTTATGCGGGGACTATATATTTGGCTATGGGCACATGCATGCATATGCATGTGATGCATGCATCAGTGTTACCTCGACTCTTCCCTTGAGGCTCTGTAGACACGTGGGTTATGCGTGTGATGGTATCCCAGTCATATAGTATGTGTCGACACATCTCATAGAAGTGTCATCTGAGTGGACACTGCATATCCCATTTTGTTACAAGGGAAAAAGGCCATACTACTCATGTGACATGAGTGAGGTACCTCCACATGACTAGTCATAATTGTTACTCACATGGCTTTGAATAATGACCTGTGGGCCATGCATGACTGAATGATGTCATGACACCAGACGGGCCTTAGAGTGATAACCAATAGGATTGAAGTGAAGACCGCAAAATACCTTCCTAGTGGCTCGAACCCAAGATGGCTTGATTCTAGGCAGTCACTCTGCTGGTGGCTCGAATCCAAGATGGCTTGATTAAAAACAAAGTTCGTAATGGTTTTTTTATGCAGCACTGTACCACTCATTGTATGATATGTTAATAGATAATTTTTTTAATAGAATAGTTTTATTCAAATTTTCTATGATATTCTAGTGTAACACATTTTATCTTATTTAACAAAATACTATTTTAACTTTGCGAACTTCTTTATTTTTTTATTTTATATATATATATATATATATAAAGAAAATTGTTTATAGGAATGTACGGACGTTTTGGGAAGTACTGGCTATTTGGTCTGACATACTACACACACTGCCTCTGACACTTACTAGACATCGATATCCGTGTCGGAGTCTATGTAACACTAGTGCGCATATGTATGTTTGTATGCATGTTATATTAATATGCAGATATCTTTCTCTTTATAGGTATTGTTTTATTTCTAATGATCCTCACTTCCTCCTACTGGTTGCTAGGATCTTTACTCTCTCATTTTATTCAGCATCCGATATATATATCTTCAATCACAATTGGGCAACCAGCTTGCGAGAATGCTGAAGGGTTGAATCTAGAGAATCACTTAGCAGAATCTCTTTATCGTCGTGTTCTTCCAATATCAAAGGAGTTGCAGAGTCCTTTCAAACTGAACAATGTCTGTATGCTATCTCTAAGTTATGAAAGAGGAGAATAAAAATCAAGCTAATACTTATCTTTTGGCAGCTGAAGTTTTTTCAAGCTCCGGTTCCACCAAAGGAATTTCTTCAAGTTCAATGTTCCACTAGCATACCTATTTTAACATGCGGGTATGTTAAACTTTCCTATATGTTGTGTAATATTTGAAGAAATTTTGATACTTTGCTGTGTGATGTGAGATAAACCTGAACATATCCACATGGGAAATCACAATATAGCCCAATCACCAATGGACTATGGAAAAACCATAGTCTATTGGATAGTGACTGTCCACTGAAACGATAGATACAAAGGGATAGAATAGAGAGAAAGTTAGACCCGCGAGAAAATTTGTGGGTCCCACTCTCTTTCCCCATCTCAGTTTATCAACAGATGGCCATTGCCCTAATGGACTATGGTTTTTCATAGTCCCTTGGTAAATAGTATGCTCAACACTTCTCATTATATGCTGTTGATATGTTTTTTGAATTGACATTTTGTTGTATGATGTGGATGAAAATCAAAATATCTACTTTACCTAGTACTTACTCCAGTAATGTTTTAAATAAATAGTAAGTATTGCGAGGATCAGAGTTGTGTTTGTTAGTGCTTTATGAGTAATTGAAAAAGATGAGTAATTTAATTTATTGATCTTAATGATTCGTGAGTTCTTAGTGATTAGATCTTTTTTCTTTATTTGGTTCGATGTTCCAAATTGTTTCAATTATTACAAATAATTTCATTTTTAATCTTAATGATTCATGACTTCTGATTACTTGGACTTTCTTGTGGTAGATATTCTATCTGCTGGAATAGATTGGACTTGCATGAGGTCATTCTTGGAACTACTGGAAGGAAGCAAGGGACCTCTGTGAAAGGGGCATTATCCCCATCTACAGAGTCTTCTCTATGCAAGTAGGAAGACATAGTTCACATCTGTTGTTGTTTGTCAAATTTATACTTTTTCTGTTGCTCCTTTTGATGAAGGCATTTTTTAAGCTTGCATCCCACATAAATTTCTCAATTTTGGTGTAGATCATTTTTTGGGCCCCTAGGGGTTTTTGTATAGGGCACCCAGTTACTAGGTTTGCCTAAATTTTGTATCTATTCCTTATCTGTATCTCTTTATATCTATTAATACAGTAGTCAACTTGATATATATATATACACACACACAAAGAGACCATTTATCTTTTGTACATGGAGATCACAATCATTTTTGTCCCTTAAATTTCAAAATGGGTGGTTGTAAGAGTGTCATTGTCATTGAATAGATACAAAGTTCCAAAAAAAAAAACTTCTCGGACTTCATGACATATCTCAAGCCATCCAATTTGACAACTAATGAGTAAGAATGATTGTGACCTCCATGTTCAAATGACAAATGGTCTCTTTGTAGACAATTCCATGATTGTGACGTCCACAAACATGGTTTTCTATAAGTATGGTTGCATTACACTATAATACATGCGTTGCATGAAATCACTGCCCTATATATATATATATATATATATATTCATTCATTCCAAATATAAAGAATAATATGATGATTTTTACTTATGAGAAAAAAGGAATAATATTAATTTATTGAAAAGAAAAGAACAATAAGGTGGTTCAGCATTTGAGCTCATTGTTCTCATTTCTTTGGTGGTTTTTACTCTAGGAAACGGCTTTTGGAGGCTTTTGCTTCACTTGTACGTGCTTCTTCCACCAGATTCAACGTGGAAATGTTTTCTTACCTTGAGCTCAAGGTCATATGTGGTCTTATTCTGTTAATTGCTAGTTTTATTGGCTTACTTTTTTATTTATTCAAGTATGTGGACATGTGTGGGCATGGACATATGAGAGAGAGAGAGAGAGATATCTTTCATGCATGTCTGATTCAATTTACTCCGTACAGGGTGTGGCCAAAGATTACAGAGCTGCTGTCAGAATTTTTAAGAAGAGCCCATGTTTCACAAACTGGTTTCAGAAGCCACCAGATCTTGAGATGTTCTTCTGTTCATCTTGATTGTGAAGGTACTGAAGTCAAAAATAATTATACTGATTTTCTGGCCTGATTAATCATCTTGGTTTAATTTTCTAAACTTTGAATTTGTTATTTCTACATAGCTGTCTGGCCTGTGTCTCTTAACCTTCAGTTGCAACAAAACCAATATCGATAGGAAAATTCGCATTTGGGGCTCATTATGCTACAAATTTTATCACGGTTTTCCGTTTGTGGATCTATTTATTCCAACTGGATGTAAGCTACAAATTTAGATTGTTCATGTCTCTAGTCAAGTATATGTGGGGAAGGGGGGTGGAGGGTTGTTAATTATATGAAAAATTACTTCAAAAATTTAGTCAAACTTAAATAGATTTTATTCTATTTTTTGAATAACCCTAACTTCCATTAGTTGTGTAAAAAAAGATGTAGAAGTTTGTGAACCTTTTTTTTTCCGAAAATGTACAAGTATGTAAACTATTCCATTCACAAATTTGAATCTATGTGAAACAGACTGTACAAAAATGAAAAATCTGTCACAAATAGAGAAGAGCCCACAACTTACTTTGTTGTTGGTTTCCCTACATGAATGTATCACATTGAAGATTTTTTTGAAAAAGTTAACAATTAAAATGATGTAAGTGTACAAAAAATGAGTTTGCTGGAATCCGGAAATGAGTTTCCTGGACCGAGTCTTTAAAAATTCTCTCGGTCACTAGCATTTGAAGCGCCTGACTTTGTGAGGGAGTCGGCCTCTGAATTGCATTGCCGAAATGTGGCTCGAAGAAACTTTTAGTCCTGAAGTGGGATGAGGAATTGAGGGGCCTTACAAAGTGTAAATACCTCATCTAATTCAATTTTTGTCTGTTCCTGTAGTAGATAGCAATCTGATTAAAAATATGTAATAGGAAGTCTAATTTAAAAAAGAAACTATATGTTTAATATGTACTTCATATTTGTTCAAAGTTAGGACTAAATATGTTGGATATGTTTATACGGAATATAAAATAATATTACATATGGGTACTTTTATGCATTTCCATGTATAGACCCATTTTTAACCTAATTTCTGTTACCTTTATAGGTGGGAAACTTTTACATGTGGCACTACCTAGGGTGTGGTTTGTAAGGCTCTAAACAATCGAAGTAGAGCACACCTTCAAATAGTGTCTGAGAGATATGGTTTCAATTCTGGAAATCTTTGCCAGCCTTAAAATATATTTTCATTTCTAATTATAAAATTTTAAGCTTCAAAAATGGTTTAGATCAAGCATATCTATAAAACTCTTGAAAATTGATGGTCAAAAAATGCATTACAAGATGTACTATTTCCAAAATTTGAAATCCATTTTTTTTCTGTTGTCCAGGCATCTTGATGTCGAGATGATCAATTTGAGGATATTTGGAGATCAAAGTAACCTCTTCTAGTGAAATTTTTTAGGTGCCCTCTAATTTGATTGTTTAGAGCCTCGTGCTCTATGTAAACTTTTTCCATATAAAATATATGCGACTCTATTCGTAGTTGTCCGATTTCGAAGGATAGTTGGGAGAACTTTAGCCATATTATTCCAAGTTAGTTTCTAAGCGTTTTATCTTAGTTAGATGGATAAGAGAATTTTATTTTTGTTTTTTTGCTCAATAATTTATTTTATAGTGAAATTTGGGTTGTGCACACTTCACCCAGGATGCACCTGATAAAAATGATAAAAATAAAAAAAGATGTTCTTGATGGAAAAATGACCTGATTGCCACTAGAACCATTTTAATAAAAGTAAGTCCAGTTCTTTTATGTTTTCCAAGTGCGCCCCATAAGTGAAGGCACACCCCAATTTTAATGTAAACCTGACTTGTAAAGGAAAGTTTACAAATAAATCTGTTGGTAGGACCCCACGCCTTAGTCACCATGATTTTCATTTCTGCTGAAACCAATCTATTAACACTTTCGAAAAACTAACTCCTAAATTATTTGAAAAAAACGGGTTGGGGTCTGTCTAAATTACCCCAAAAAAAGAAAACGGAATGTTGGGAAAAGGAGTCACATATTTGTTTTGTACGTGAGTGGCTCCACGTGTAAAGGTTTATGTAACCAATGGTCTAAGCATGGACCAGAAATTATCAGGCATTGGCTTAATGGGCAAAAGGCTTTTTGAAATCTTTAATAGGGGCATATATTTGTGTGATCCATTTTAACCAACGTCAAATAGTTGGGATAAGGCTCTGATGATAATGATGAGACGACTGTTTTCATATATATGGTTTATTCAAGTAGACTTTAGGTTCCTTTATGTTGAATATAACTCTATGTTATTATGTATTATTTAGCTTCTCAAACACGATAAGGCATAGATTAAGAAACGTCGATAAACTTCAATGTAAAATCTTTTGCAATTTATAATTCATATATGGACTAATATTTCAAAAAAAAATTCTTTTACAGACTGCAAGAACAATCGTGGCATGAAAGAAGTGTTAATAGCCTCTGGTTTGTCATGGAGAGTTCCTTGTCCTATAAGCCTGCAAGCCCGGCATGATGATTGCAATTGAAAATTCAGTTCAAATGCCAACCATTATCTTAAACACACAAGGTCACCCAAACATTTCAGAAATAATTAGGGGTATTTGCATCTTGGCCTTGAAGCAATTCAATTCAAACTCAAAAGAAGTTTGTGCATTACTAATCGAAGTATCAAAACAAGTGCAAGACCATGTGATCTGATCACCACATGAGTATGTGTGTGAGCAGTAGAATACAACGCTACAATGCCCATAGCAGTTTCTTCACAATACGATCCATAAACTGGAGACATGCATGGCTCCAGGGCCTTCTGACAGCTAGAACAAAGAAAAAACCTCCAAATCCTATGCCGAAACCCATACCTGCACTCACATCAATCCCAAATACATCATCATCATCTTCATTATGGATAGCAGTCAACACTTGGGTAGGGACTTCACATTTTTTAAGAAGCGAAAATCCACAAAGATATGGGTTCCCAGAATATGTCGATTCATGAAAAGTTTCCATTTGATTGCTGGAGGGAATGGGTCCTGATAAGTTGTTATTTGAAAAGTTTAAATAGCTTAAGAATGTCAGGGACGAGATTCCTTGTGGGACACCACCTGAAAGTAGATCGTTCGAAAGGTCTAGTGATTCCAGCTCCTTTAGTGCTCTGCTCTTTTTGGGGATATTCCCAGTTAGGTGATTTCTGGACAGGTTTAGCACGATCAAGCCTACCAAGCTGGTTAACTCTTCCGGGATAATCCCGACAATATTATTACTGGAAATGTCCATGTTGTTGCGATGACAACCTTTTGCTCATAATACTTCATGACAATCATTTCCTCATTATACTTTCCATAGGAACTGCTATGGACATCTCTTAGCTTGATTGCCATTGATGTGAAGTTGTCAAATGTCCGAGGGATCTCACCTGATAAATTATTTACTGCAAGGGCCAAGACTTGAAGAGAACACAAGCGTGCCAGCTCTTGAGAGATTCTCCCTGTAAACTTGTTTGATCGTAAACGGAGAATGCGTAGTGATGAGAAGCTTTCACCAATCCAAGTAGGAATAACATCTGAGAATCCATTCTCACCAAATTCGATAATCTATAAACCAGAACAGTTTCTCAAGGATGAAGGGATCTCTCCTGATAGGCTATTGTTGCTCAAGCGCAGTGTCTGAAGGATCCCTAAATGCTCGAGCGACAATGGAATGCCTCCGAGCATATTATTGTTGCTCAAGTCCAGTGCTACAAGCGACTTACAATTCCCCAAGCTAGAAGGGATAAGTACAATTCCCCAAGCTAGAAGGGATAACACCACTTAACCTGTTTCCCGAAAAATCGAAGACAATCAGATTGGTCATGTTTCCCACAGAGTTGGGAATGGTTCCCATGATGTGGTTATTAAATATCAGAAAGTATTCGATATTGGGTAGTGAGGTGGGGATGGTACCAGTGAAGTTGTTCCCAGAAAGGTTGAGAAGTCAAATCTCTCATCTTGTGAATAGTGGAAGGAATTGTTCCCACCATATGGTTATCTGCTACAGATAGGAAATTTAGACTCGGCATTGTTTCACCAATGTTCTCTGGAATGTTGCCAGAAAATCGATTCCCAGACAAGTCAACAAACATTAGATCGGAATGGACACTGAAAGCCTCAAAAACATTCCCCTCGAGATGGTTATTGTCGACTACGAACCAGGTCAAACTCGTACAGTTCTTCAAATCTTCTGGCAGGGGCCCCGAGAAATTGTTGCGGGCGGCTGAGAAATTTATGTCCTTATTCCCTCTACAAATTCCCAAAGGTAGTGTACCCTAGAAGCTATTGAAAGACAAGTCAGCCCGGAACAATTGAATGTGCTCAAAAATATCTACTGGAATGGTGCCAGAGAACACATTGCTTTCGATAAAGAACATTTCCAGCTTCCAGAGGCGGGATAATGTTCCTGGCAATGAGCCTCCGAGGGTGTTATTCGACACATCGAGAGATGTTAACGATCCCAAGTTTCCAATCTCAGAAGGAAGAGCTCCTGAGAGTTGGTTCCAATAGAAGGAGGAATGGGGCCATATAGAAGGTTCATAGAGAGAGATTTCAACCAACTCTTTCATATCTCCTATTTGTGGTGGGATGTTCGAACTCAAATTGCAAGTACTAATATCCAGTCTCTGAAGCTTTGGGAGCTGGCCAAGAGAACCAGGGATAGGCCCTACTAAAAGTGGGTTTTCATAGAGTTCAAGTATTTGGAGAGAGAACACAAAACTTAGTTGTTCAGGAATTGGACCAGTGAAGGAGTTGTAACCGAGTCAAAGATCACAAAGCTTAGTAAGGTAGGATTTGAAGTTTTCTGAGACCAGAAAAGAACATATTCGGGATTGAACCAGATAATTCATTATGACACAAATCCAAGAAAGTGAGGTTCGAAAGACTGCCAATATCTGGCGGAATCATTCCTTGAAGAGAATTCCAGCTGAGATCGAGGTGGACTAAATGGCATAACAAGGAGAAGTTAAATTGACCGAGAGTACCTTCGAGATTTGAATTCGAGAGGCTTATCTCAATTACACTTCCCTCATCGCTGCATTGAATGCCAAACCAGCCACATTGGTGGGTTTTATTGTTGGTCTTTAAAACCCATGAATACAAGGTCTGATTTTTCAGACTGGTTTTCCAATTCAAAAGTGAGAGCATAACCT